GGCGAGAGAGTGAGAAAGAGTGGGGGAGAAAAAAAAACTGTTACGTCTCTGAGGTGACAGCTTGCTGGAAGAGCCTGGCAAAAGCAGAGCAACATCTCTCTCCTTCTCTCTCTCCCCTTCTATCTGTCCATCTCTCCCTCTCCATGTCTCTTTCTCTCATCAAAACTTGATGCCGATTAGGATCTTGGAGAGCAACGAGCTTTGGATGGGATGTGAAAACACACAGAGGACCCAAGGGATAAAACGCCAGGATTAAAGTGGTGAGGGAATATGGGGTGATAGTGGTGGTGGTTCAAATAGATCGGCCCCCACGACTGCAGTGGCTCCTTGCCTCACTTTCCTCTCTCACTCTGGATTCACACACTGTTACATCAAGGCCATTTCTCATTATAGCACAAGGGGGGAAAAGCTTTCATGATGTTACTTTAGAGAGAAAGACAGAAAGGAAGGGGGAAGGAGGAGTAAAGAGTGTGGGAGAATGAAAATGAAAGAAAATAGATCTGCCAAGATAAAGCAGATGACATGCTAATAGTATGTTATGGAGGAGAAAACTGTGTAAGAGAGAGTGTGTGTGGCCATGTGTGTGTGTGCTTGAGAAAGTGAAGTAATCAGAATCACAGTCATAGAAAACTGACACATAAATCAGCCCCTGATCTGACACAAAGCAAAGTCAGCTGTCAGTGTGCATTCAAAGACAGAAGACGACCAGTGCACACAGACTTTATAAGCATCAGTACATGGAAAATATTATGTATTAATTTGCCTTCATACATTTAATTTAGCTATTCTTGCAGTTTGCTCCTCCACTCCTGAGGCTGTTCCAAAGTATCTGGTAAATTAATAGGCACACACCTCAAGCAGTGCCAATATTTGCAACCGTTTTCAAATATCTATTTATTCTATTCTTGAAAGTGCTGAGGAGCCGTAAGGGAAGAAATGATAGAGTAAAAAGCGATTTGTTTAGCCAAAAGAAGAAAAAAAAACTGGAGCAGCCCACATCTCTCTCCCCTCATAGATCAGCCTGCCCTCACCATTTCTTCTCAATTACTCCTCCAGTCAACCTG